TATTGTCATCCCTGCCTTGACCTCTGAGTGATTGAAAACTGATCCTTCGAATGCACAAGTCTGTGAATAATCCTTCATCAATTGTTTTGCCAAAAAGTGAGCCTCCACTTGGGCTGGATCTAATTTAGCTGAACTTATTCCACTATCTTCCTTCATAGGCATGTTTGGATCATTCTGAATATTTGGTGGAGATTCAATCGGTTCAGGAGTATCCTCGTCCTGCTCCGCTTCCGAGACTGATGGTGCAACAAACAAGCCATTACCAGATTCTACTCGGTCTACTGATGCGGTTGACACTTGCGCACTGAGAGGAGCTGTTCGTGATTGCGAGCTGGAAGGAGACAATAGCTTTGAATTCAGGGACCTACGAAATGATGTCAGCCACTGAGACGACATCTGCGAACTGGAAACTAAAGTTCGCGATGAATCTGAAGTCGTTTGCGATGCCGATCTGTAAGGAGAAGAAACCTGCGCAGTTATCGATAATCTGGGAGAATTAGTTCGCCTCTGCGAACTGAAGGACATGGTTGGCGAAGACTTCTGCAAACTGGGAGAATCGACTCGCGATGATGAACGATGAAGGATGTTGTTCGCAGTTGCACTCTCTCCTGAAGTCATCGGACAGTTAGAAAATTGCACACGATGCTGAGGTGGCGATGGCGATCTAGCTCTAGACCGATTCTGATTAGACATCGCGGTAATGGACGCAGTCAGATTTGACGCCAGGGCCTCCATTGCTGAACGAAGATCATTCCTCACTGATCGTAAGACCTCCTTTCTCTCTGCTTTTATCTCCTCCAACATACGTTCCATATTGTCAAAATTCTTTTCCATTCGAGGAGTCATATAGACTTCCTCCATAGTTCCAGAATGTTGTTGCTCTGAGATGATCGATGATTCTGATTCTCTGCCTCCAGGAAGAGATTGCTCTGATACCATTGATAGAAACTCCAGTATCGTAACAGTAAATCGATGAATATTAATGATGTAAAGCTAAGAAACGAAGAAGATACAAATGAGGCACTTCGAGAGGCACTCAACTCTCCAAAACCCAAGTTCCCAATTCTTAAATCTGCCTGCCTTTCCCCTTTCCTCCCTCTCCTTCTTATACTAAAACAAAAGGGCCAGCCCAACTCATGACTTACCTGGCCCAGTAGCCTTATTTTTTATACTATCCCCACTATTTACTAGAATGCTATTATTAGTATTATTATTATACTAATGCTAATAAGCCCCTTTCCTATCAATGTAGAAGTACTTATTTTGTCTAATGTGTTTATTTTTATTTTTCAGATTCATGGGTGAATTTCTATGGAAACATCGGAAAGACTTTATTGTCCCTGGTATAAATTTTATTTCCTAAATAAACTATTTAGGTTTCCGATTACTGGATTCATTATTATACACCATTCCTCATTATAGAATTTATTACTCTATAATTCCACTTAAATTAGTTAAAGCACTATTTCAATCCTTCCTGATTGCTTGTTTTACAGGTATCTATATTCTTTGACATCCTGTTCATGGTGCAACATTATGTTCTTTATCCTTCCAAAAAGGCAGTTACTTCTGATGATGCTGGTGTGGTAAGCACAACGCCATTAACATCTTCTGATCGTCTACATGCAGATGATGTGTAATGCTCAAGTTGATGGATGTATAATCTTTTACTCTTATTTGTTAAGATTGCCGATTTACGTACTGATGATATACAATGAAAAATAACTCAAAGTCTATATATTCTGGGTGAGAAAGGTAGGGGTGTAGCCGTGTAGTAGATATGAGTTCTGTTCCAATACACGGTCTGAGATCCGCCTTTTGTGTTCTGATAAACCCCTTACAAATCTCAGGGAGTCTTTTTTCCAGGTTTAGCGGACACCTGCTATCAAGAATCGGAAGCGCCAAATGTTTGGAGAATAAAATAAAATGCAAGAAACTTGTATTTCATTAACTTGTCAACAAGTTACAATCACCCAAAGTGGTGTTTACATACACAGATACACTCTAGCAGCTGGCTAATAGGTTCCCGATTTAAATCATGAAAGCGTACGATTTTACTTTAACACTGAAGGGTTAGCAATTAGCACAGATTGTATCATGTTTATGAGTAAATAAATAAAATGATATATAGTAAGTTTATTATTAATTAACTTAATTATCAACAGAAATTATCAAAACTCTAATAAATCTATATTGTTAAATAGTTCATTACTCTTATACTTAGTATTATGGTTTAGTAGTCTGATGAATTTGACACCTTGTAAATAACTTTATCTACACTGAGTAAATAAAATGACAATAAATTTATAATTAATTAACTTAATTATCTACAGCAATTATCAAAACTTTACTAATTTTATATTGTTAAATAGTTCATTAATCTTAAATTATCTACGTAAATATTTATGTATAAGATTTAAAGATAATGTGGCCAAAATTACGTTTTAAATTTTGTGTATTTTTATTCAAAACAAACATCTTAAAACACTAAATATACATGCTCAAAATTTTCACAAAATGTATTTGTTATCACATCAAGTCATCAATAGCCTAAACAAATTAGTTATAAGTATTTAATCGATTCCTCTAGGAGTAGATGTCTTTTTGTTTTCTTTACTAAAATTTTCAATTTGTTATGTACTCGTGTTTGAAACTTAACTTTTGAGATTATTTCAAATGATGGCAACTTTGTACGTATTTATATTTCTTATAATTTCAAACCTTGAATGTGTTTATGCGGCACAAATTTAATGTTGATTTGTATGAGATTTAAAAAAATAGGAACCAAAACTGACACAAACTGAACTGTTAAGTTTGTTCAGTTCAATATCGGTTCTCAAATAATTTATAAGAACCAAATCAATATTAAGAGTTGATTTTTTTAAAATAGTTTTATTTGTTTTGCCTAAGAACTGAACCGGTCTCAAGCCTACTTTTATTGATCCAAAATGACATTTGTGTCATATGTTTTTCTAAAACGCGCCTTACCTATACTTATACTAATTTAAATTTTCTTCCTTTAAATTTTACCCAATTGCTCACCCCGCCCTCTTGCCTTACTATATATTTAGAGGGTTGTTTTTTCTTCTTATTTTGAAATAAAAACAAACTATTTATTAATAATAAAAATGATCAGTACAAAAAAAAGAATTACGGACAAGAATAGCCTAGGGTCACAACACAAAACAGCGGACGACTCCCTCATTTTGTAGGGGTTAGGTTGTGCCGCCGGTTAATCCGTGTGGAGTTTTTGAAAGTGACGGAAATTTATCAGCCCAAATTTCTTTAACTGGCGAATTTGGGTAGAGCAAGGCAGAAGGGATGACAAATGATTGTACATTGCAAGTGCAGCAGGGGTTCTACTCATGGACTAAGGATTTGAAGTTAGCAATTCTGGGGCTAGATGACGAGATGAACAAGGAAGATGAAGTTGTGATGGACCGTCCCCCTCTGGAACCGCCGCCTTGGAGTGGCCACGTGACTAGGGTTTGGAAGATAACGCTTCAAGGTTGGATTGGGCCACATGCGGTTTCTTGCTTTATTTTTATTTCAAGAGTATTTTCCTTTCTTTAGTCCTTTTGTTTTGGTTTTGTTTTAATTGTTTTCGTGATGTTCTTGAGATATTTGAGGTCATTATATGCCTCAAAGCTCCCGCTTGGTGGTCTGTGATGAGTGAATTTTTCTATGTCTGATCGGGGATTGAGAGGGTCTTTCGGCTATTTTGAGATTTCTGAAATTAGAAAGAGTGTGATGAGTCGATGAACTTATGGATCAAACTGAACTCTATTTTCCCACTAGATGATCAGCGATTCGCGCTGCTTCTTTGGAGGTGACTGTCTCAGAGTCTATTTGTAGGGTAATTCTTGAGTCTAGTTGGGTTGGTTGTGTTTTGAGCTTTTGGCTCATTGTAACTGCGACATTTATTTAATTGATATAGTTTTGCGTTTTGCTTTAAAAAAAAGTGCAGCAGAAAAAGTTGTTAGAAACTTTTCCGTGACATGTTCAACCGCAACTAACACATAAGGTTAAAAACTCAACTGGCATTTTAGTAAAGGGATAAGGCTCAAATTGGACACTATGGTTTCATCAGAATCTCATATTTGACACTAAGGTTTTAAATGGACCAAATTAGACACTATGGTTTCATATGTATCTCCTATTGGACACTAAAGTTCCATAATTCAATATAAGTGAGTGTCCAATTTGATCTTTATCCAATATAAGTGAGTGTCCAAAACCTATGAATTATGAAACTTTAGTGTCCAATATGAGATACATATGAAACCATAGTGTCTAATTTGATCCATTTGAAACCTTAGTGTCAAATATGAGATTCTGATGAAACCATAGTGTCCAATTTGAGCCTTATCCCTTTTAGTAAATACATAAAAAATTCCATCTGCAAAGAAAAGATAGTATATCACTATGGTCTATGAATTAAGAAAAACTCTGCAAAATAAGGTGTAACACTTAAGATTACACTATAGACCAATTAAAGTGAGACAAAAAATATAAGTTTGTTTAAGAGAGGCTATAAATTACAATGTGTTGACATCTAATCACATTTTGTTTTAATTCTACTAGTAATCAATTACTCGTGTATCCTTTGTTGAATGTTGATCCTATAAAAGCTAGGGCGTTCTGCGCTCGCAAATCTGATCAGTTTCATTTTGGTTCCTTCAAATTGAGAATTACACCAGATTTCAATGATTTTGGTTTAATTACTTTCAGTCAGGTTTTGTCAATTTAAATTAGTTTGTACATTTTAACCGAAATAAGTGTATACATGACATGAGAGAGATAAACACAAAAGGCTAATCAATATAATATTTCTTAACTTGAATGACTATCGATTTTTTATAATAATTTCTCTATAATGTCAATGGTAACACCTAAATGTAGACATTTTGCTTGACATTCTTGCTAAAATAAACTAAAATATAAAAGACCGTGTAGGCGTGTAAGGATATATTTTTTATTATTATTTAATTTTGTGTTTATATTTCTCTTGTCATGTATGTATCGTGCAACATTGTTATATTGAAGATGTTCTAAATATTTAAATATATCTATCTCAATGGTTTCATTGAGAATGCCTTAAATCACACAACGATGCCCAGTCACATTACTTATACCTAGTACGGAGTATAACTTATGGGTTGAAATATAACTTGTATCCTTTTGAGTTTTGTCGATTGTTCCAGCCCTAGAAACACTCAGTCGGCCAATTGCCCGAAATGACTTATCCATGTGTTCAGTAACTAAACTAATTTCTTCATTCTGATAAATTTATAAACTTTGACAATTATTAATTCAACTTTTAGTATCCTAACTATTTGGCTATTTGCATTGGATCATTCCACTTTCAAAAATAAGCTAACTTTTGGATTATGCTATATTTCACATGACATAGCATGCAATGTCAAGAGACACATGACACACCCCAGTTGTTGGAATCCTCTCTCTGCCTGAATATGAATATATGGGAAACGAATCAAAGTTTAATCATATATAAGCAAATAAATAAACAAAACCAGGAATGGACTATTACCATATGACCATCTAAACTCACCCCGCCACAAGCGGTTTCCATAGAATACATAGGTGCTGGATATGGGCCCTATGGCTATACACTTCCCAGGAGAGATCACAAGTGCTGTAAGACTACTTTCATGTAAGAATATCCAGCTTGAAGGCAACAATTTCACTCTCCTAAACTAAGTGCTACCATATCACTAGCTGCCTACAAAGATGAAAGCAAAATCTCTAAAACAACTCATATCAACTTTTACGGAAAGCAAGAATTCTACTGAAGGGTGGGTCTCTCAGTGACACCATAATAAGTTATTTTACGATGTCTTGATGTCGATGCCCCCCACAAAGGAAAAAAAACAAACGGCTATTCGCTTCAGTTTGTACAAATGTCAGATGAGAAAACGGTTCACCTATGGGTAGATGTATGAGGCATTGCAGGCAAGGTCATAGGAGCACCAGTCACCACTGGTCCAGGGATGGTAGGTGTTCCATAAGCTATGTGAGCATGTGGCGGGAGATTCATTGGTGTGGCGACTGCAGGAACAAGTGGTACTCCTACTGGCTGTCCAATAGTTGTTCCGCCATATATAGCAGCAACTCCAAGAGTAGGAGGAGGGGGAGGGGGAGCAGGAGCTAGGGCTGGTTGCTTGTTGGATTTTCCAGATGTGGCAGTTCCGTTAGTGTGTCCAGTAGTAATTGGTCCTCCTTGGGGCACTACTGGTGCATCTCCATCGTTAGCATTGGTGATGTCATGAATGCTAGCTCGTCTCCTATCCTTGTTCATAGAGTTTAAACGAATGAAGTATTTCTGGGCATGGCTTGCTACTTGTGTAGGTGTTCTCGTCACAACAAAGTTCCTCGAAATACTTCTCCAGTCACCCTTCCCATATTTGTCCAATCCCAGAAGGAATAACCTGTTTGAAAAAAAAAGGATCAACTACTAAACATCAACAATGCAGATCAGTTCTGGATTGCAGTTCATCTTGATAACAAGCAGGTCACTTAAGAATGAAAGTGAAAATACTACTCCGTATTACCATATTATACTTCTGAGGGAACTATCGAACTACACCTTGCACAGTTGCACATAACTGAATTGCACATAAATCCAGAAAAAGGAAAGAATGCTTCTATGCAACTACATATCTTGACTCCATTCATAGCATTCAAGCATCTGGCCAAGATAGGTAATAAATCCATAACATTTATGAGATGATCCGTTCAGGAGCAATGGCCAAGATAGGTCTCCGTAACTTCTTCAGTTATCTAAGAAAAGAGGTACTAATCCCCTTTGTGAGATTGAAGAATGTGTTTCCATAGGGATGAAGTAAATCTTCAGCATAAAGTTATAATTTATTTCACTTTCCAATCTTCTCCCTTGACATTCACTTTCCATGGAAGGTAAACATATTTCATGCTAATGTTGACTATATTCCACCCATAATCGAACTGTGTTTGTCATTATGGAAATTGAAAATAAATAAAAGCAAAGTTGTTTACTTTCATCATAAGATGAAGTAATTTTCATCATCTCAAATTGGAAATAGAGGAAACATTGATGTTTTCTTTCATTCGCTCAAAAAACCCTATCCTTGTAGCTCAAGCCTGCCATTTGGATGGTAACCTTTTCTTAAAATGTAAACAAATAAGTTCTACAGAAAGAAAAGCAAGTGAACCTATTGCAGAAGAGTAATAAATTTTGTTTATGAGGCAAACAAGGTCCACATAGACTTGCTTTTTGTATCGTGCAAGCACAGTTGAGTGCACAGAACTTTTATGCATCTTTGAATCAAAGAATAGAAAAGTCCACATTAAAGCAAATGTTAGGCAAGAAATACAAGCAGGATGACGAAAGAAAGAAAGCGAGAATGTATGCAGTGTACAGAGAGAGAGATATCACATCCTAGATATGCAGTATATACAATCAAATGAAAACCAAATTCAAGCCAGTACAACTAAATCAATTTCCCCTTTCTAAATAATTTCCCCCTCTGACTCTTTGAACAGTTAGTATTTATACCCTGGACATGATCAAGTTCAGATGGGGCGTCCTACTGTTATCAGGAGAAGCTTATGGATAACGGCAGTGTAACAACTAACAAGCCAGGAACTGAAATTACAAAGAGTTCATCCCAAATGGTCTGTTTTGGATGGAGAGTTTCATAGGGGTATGGAGGAGGGTAAGGCTTTGGAATGGCTTAGTCTGTATCATAGTGTAACAGATATCTGAATAAAATGCTTCCAAAAAGGCATAAAGAGTGGTTGAAATGCTATACGATCAAATTTTACGTTAATCTTTTAATATTCATGGAATCTCAAATATACATTAATATTAAGACAGCCTTATCTGTCCAAAGTCTTCCCCTCCATTCAAACAACCCCTAATGGTCTGTTAGTCTGTTTGTTTGCAGGTGAACTGAGTATTTCTAGGTGTTATTATAGGTTTAGCTCGTTTGTTTATTCTTTTATGAAAAACATCAGTCTCCCGACAACCTATGCATAAGCAGGAGAACTTGGAAAAACCTCCACAGACCTAGTTTTTGAGAACTTCCGAATCACAGTTTTCTATGGTTAATTATTTTTATAAGTAATTTTATAGATTAATCTTCTTTCAGATAAACTTTCACTCCATTCCAGGCTAATCTAATAATAATCCAAAATACATTTTTAAACATATACTTAGGTTCAACCAAATCTATTAGGTTAGTAAAGTCCACCTGGTTTGTTCAAGTTCACCCATCCAAATGGGCTACAAGACAATAAATGGGCATTTGAGAAAACAAAATAGCCTTTAACTGCCATTATTGCTTGTATGCACTAAAATTAAGGTAAAACATGTTGCTATCCCACACCGGTTAAATATCAAAATGCAAACCAGCATATGAATTTCGGGTATTTATCTTATAAGTTGACCTTTAAGGATCAGAGCCAGTTAAACTCCAACGAACCATTAAATCCGAGTAAGGGTGAATAACAAGAACACAGGCTTTGAAAAACAAGGATGGTACTAGAAAAACAGGGAACTAAGGCTGAACAACAAGAACACGGGTTTATAAAAACACGGATGGTATTAGAAAAACAGAGAATACCCAAAAGGACTACACACCTGTGCTCTTCCTCTGTCCAGGGAATCCCCTTTCGACGCTCCTGATCTGCCCTAGTAGGCTTTCCTAGACTTGAATCATTGTTGGAGTGTCCGAGATTGACACCTTTCTTGCTAGTTCCTTCATCACCATCATGCCCCGGGGAGTTGTCGGAGTTGTAGCAAGGCAGAGGAACACAGCCAGACTCGATCCTGCTAATGTCATCAGTCAAGATCTCATAGTGAAGCTTTACCTCTTCTAAGGACTTCCCCGGAACATCTGCAGCAATTTTCTCCCATCTATCAGATAAATCCTCAGGGTAGGTTGCCAGGGCATTCTCGAATGCTATATCTTGCTCTCTACTCCACACAGACTTGCTCAGTTCATCCACAGCCATCTATGAAGTTCGTTCCTCTGTATCAAATCACCATTCCAGTAAAGTAAACAGGGACTAGCTTATGAGCTACTACAAGAACCTCGAATTATCAACGACAACAACTTAGATAAGAAAAATCTACCTCAATCCAGATCTGAACTTAATTCCTGGGCAGGCAAGGACAGAACCAATGGGTAGAAAGCAGGTGTACCAGATGAGACAGTGCTCTAAACTAGAGTCCAAAAGTAGACAAGTGTACTGGACAGCAACTTTGGATAAATATCAGAAACACCCAAAGGCATGCAGCAGATGTTGATGGGGCTCCAATGGTGGTTTGTCCCCAATTCAGCTAGTGGGGAACCAAAAAAAGGCAGCTTTATGCTAAAACAGCCTCTGGTGCGCACGGGGTAAAGGCCTACTGCCACTCTGCTGACTGAGTCACCGTGACTTACATCCTCCCATGTGCTCTGTCGGGTCGGGGCGTGGGGGGCGCTTGGGGTTGGCGATTCAACCTTTTGGAACTATGAATACCATAAAATAGAATGCCCAATGAGAACTGTAACTACAGTGACGTTCGTTCACGTGAGTTGGAGACTATCCCAAGAAGACAAAAAACGGACACAGATAAGAGAGAGAGCACACGGATTTGAATGGGAAGTGATGCAAGAAAAAAGAGAGCACACAGATTGATTAGGGTTGTGAGAAGTGAAAATGACAATCAAAACGAAGAAATGCCCCAAAAGGCCAAAGGAAAAAGTATAAATTGGGAAGTCAAATTGCCATGCAATACTGTACTCATCCCTGCTTCAACACAATGGTCCAAAACCTCATTGATGACAAACTGTTTTCCACATCACAGCTGTTGGTGATTTTAGTGTCACCGGCCATTTTGTGTAATTGGAAATGACATGAGTGCCAATGGGAATTAGAACTATGATCTAATACAAGTTAGTATGTGTGGAGTGCACACTTGTATATAAGAACTAGTTTAGTTCCAAAGTGTCTACGTTAGTGGAACTCGAGGTAGAACTCGAGGTATAACTTTCAGTAGACCAGCTATGTGGTTCTAGACCGAGTTCTAGAACGGTTAGGCAGTTTCCAGCAGTTTCCCAGAAACTGTTGCGGTTATTCTTAATCGTGTTACAACTGCCTAGGACGATGAATATGGATATATACCACCATATTTCGTACAGAGGAGATAGAGGAAACCTATCCAACATATCTTCATCACTTTGGCACTCAAATTAAAGATAACAATCCATATACTCGACTAGTTTGGCTCTAGTTCTTGTGCCTAAGTTCTAGAGTGTCCTTAAGGATTATCCTAGATTGAATTTCTTGTAACCCAGGCATAGGGGAGAAATATCAATTCGGAAAGTGAACTTACACGATCCTTAAGCAATCCAAGTACTCATATTATCACCCCCTACGTGATAGACCCCAACAATCGAATTGATATTTCTTTGTGATAATCATGAGTACCGTGGAAGAGATGACATCCAAGTTCAACAAATTGGACAAGTTTCAAGGCAACGATTTCCGTAGATGGCAGAAAAAGATGCACTTTCTTCTCACCACGTTGAAGGTTGTGTACGTGTTGAGCACTCCAATGCCGGAGGTGATGGAAGATGAAACCTTGGAACAAACTAGGAGGCGCAACAAGTGGGAGAACGATGACTACATATGTAGAGGCCACATCCTTAACGGTATGTCTGATGCGTTATTTGATATTTACCAAAACGTTGAGAGTGCTAAGGAATTGTGGAATTCTCTTGAGTCAAAATACATCGCCGAGGATGCTTCTAGTAAGAAGTTCTTGGTGAGTGATTTTAATAATTATAAAATGGTTGACTCAAGGCCGGTTATGGAACAATACAATGAACTCCTTCGTGTTCTTGGTCAATTTAAACTCCACAAGATAGGTGTTGATGAGTCCTATGCCGTGTCGAGTATAATTGACAAACTTCCACCCTCTTGGAAGGATTTTAAACGTTCTTTAAAACATCAAGATGAGGAACTGTCCTTGGTTCAACTTGGGAGTCACTTGCGCATTGAGGAGAATCTTCGTGTGCAAGAGAATGACCAAATTATGGGTGAAGTTGAATCTAGAATGGCTCATGTTCACTTGGTTGAGGATAATAAATCTAACCCGAAAGATAAGGGGAAAGGCAAAAAGCGCAAGTATGAAGACCATGACAAACCCAACAAGAAACTGAAAGGTTTGGTTTGTTGGAGGTGTCAAAAGGTTGGACATGTCAAGCGTGATTGCCGTGTGAAACTGAACAAGAATGGCGCTGGAACGAGTGGCAGTGGACAGGAACGGTCTAAGGACCTGGTTCCACGGAAAGGAGGTCAGTTCCTGACTAACTTTGATAATTCTGTCCAGAATTATGTATCACTCATTCCAGAATCTTTTTATGTACAGGATGATGACTGTGCATGGTGGATTGACTCGGGGGCTACGAGCCATGTGTGTAAGGATAAAGGATGGTTTGAAGACCTAGAACCAGTGGAGGTCGGTTCCTTATTACGCATGGGAGACGAGTCAATGGTGCCTATCTTGGGAAAGGGTGTAGTTGTTTTAGAATTTACTTCTGGGAAAACAATTACGTTGTTTGATGTTTTGTATGTACCGAAGGTTCGAAAGAATCTTGTTTCGGGAAGTATGTTGAATAATTTAGGGTTCAAACAAGTGATTGAATCCGATAAATATATTCTGTCCAAGGGTGGTGTGTTTGTTGGTTTTGGATATTTATCAAATCGCATGTTTCGTTTAAATGTTGTGAATAAATTAATTTCTAGTGATAATTCTGTTTTTGTGGCATCTTCCATGAATGATTGTATGATTTGGCATGCTAGATTAGCTCACATTAATTTTAGGAAAATGCATGAAATGTCTAAAGATGGTTTAATTCCTGCTTTTGATATTAATGATGATAAGTGTAGGACTTGCATGCTTACTAAGATCACAAAACAACCGTTTCCTAATGTTGAAAGGAATTCGGCTATTTTGGATCTTGTACATAGTGATCTATGTGACTTTCACTCAACTCCTTCCCTTGGCAATAAAAAGTATGTTGTTACTTTTATGTGTATTTATTACACACCAAGGATGAAGCTTTAGAGAAATTTAAAGTGTATAAAACCGAGGTTGAATTGCAATTGGGTAATCCAATTAAATGTCTTAGGACTGATCGGGGAGGAGAACATATGGATCCCCATTATTTTCAATCTGTTGGAATCATTCATGAGACCACGGCTCCGTATACACCACAACAAAATGGTGTGGCCGAACGGAAAAATCGAGTGTTAAAGGAAATGGTTAATTCCATGCTTTCCTACTCGGGTTTGAGTGAAGGGTTTTGGGGAGAGGCCATGCTCACGGCCTGCTATGTTCTAAATAGGGTTCCAAATAAAAGGAACAAGACAACCCCATATGAGCTTTGGTACAAGAAAGTGCCGAATTTGAAATATTTTCGGGTTTGGGGTTGTAGGGCGATTGTAAAATTGCCCGAGCCCAAAAGGAAAACTTTGGGGGAAAGGGGAATTGATTGCATATTCATAGGGTATGCTGAACATTCCAAGGCTTATAGGTTTTATGTAATAGAACCTAATGATGCGGTAGCGGTTAACACCGTGACTGAGTCTCGGGATGTGATCTTTGATGAGATGAGATTTTCATCAATTCAAAGACCAAAGGACCTAGTTCCAGGCACTAGTGAGGTGCAAGTTCCAGAATGTTTGGATGGTGTTTTGAATCCCGAAGCACCACAAATAAGGAAAAGCAAACGAGGCCGCATCGTGAAAGACTTTGGTCCCGATTTTCACTTGTATTTAGTGGAAGGTTCAAGGGATGAAACGGGGGTACAATATTCATATTGTTACCAAGTTGAGGATGATCCAAAGACCTTTAAAGAGGCAATGGAATCCCGAGATGTTGCCTTTTGGAAGGAGGCAATTGATGATGAAATGTCATCAATTATGGAGAACAACACTTGGGTGTTGTCGGATTTGCCACCGGGTTCTAAACCCTTAGGTTGCAAATGGATCTTCAAAAAGAAGATGAAAGTGGATGGAACTGTTGACAGGTTCAAGGCTCGGTTGGTCATTCAAGGTTTTAGACAAAAACCCGGAATTGACTATTTTGACACCTATGCGCCGGTTGCTCGAATTACAACCATTAGGTTGTTAATTGCTTTGGCGGCTATACACAATCTGATTATACATCAGATGGATGTCAAGACGGCAATTTTAAATGGTGATCTTGATGAGGAAGTTTACATGAAACAACCGGAAGGTTTTGTTATGCCGGGAAATGAGCATAAGGTTTGTAAACTTGTTAAATCATTGTATGGGCTGAAACAAGCACCCAAACAATGGCATCAAAAGTTTGATGAAGTTATTTTGTCCAATGGTTTTAGTTTAAACCAATCGGACAAGTGTGTCTATAGCCGATTTGATGCATTCGGAGCGGGTGTGATCATATGTCTCTATGTTGATGACATGCTGATTTTTGGAACGGACCAAAATCAGGTTGATGAAACCAAAAGGTTGTTATCATCAAGGTTTTCCATGAAGGACATGGGGGAGGCGGATGTGATTCTTGGTATAAGGATTAAATGGGTAAACAAAGGGATTGCTTTGACACAAGCTCACTATGTTGAGAATATTCTCAAAAGGTTTAATTATAGTGATTGTTCACCCGTTGGTACTCCCATGGATCCTAGTGTGAAGTTGATGCCTAATAAAGGAAAGGCAATATCACAACTTGAGTACTCTCAAGCTATTGGTAGTTTAATGTATGCCATGACAAGCACTCGGCCGGATATTGCTTATGCCGTGGGTAGGTTGAGCCGGTTTACTAGTAATCCTAGTACTCAACATTGGCAAGCAATGAAGAGAGTGTTCAAGTATTTAAAGGGAACCATGGATTATGGTTTGTGTTACTTTGAGTATCCTTCGGTTTTAGAGGGATATTCGGATGCAAGTTGGATATCCAATGTAGAGGATCATTCTTCTACAAGTGGTTGGGTATTTTTGCTTGGGGGAGGTGCCATTTCTTGGGCATCCAAGAAGCAAACTTGTATCACAAGTTCAACGATGGAATCTGAATTTGTTGCGTTGGCTACCGCCGGTAAAGAGGCGGAGTGGTTAAGAAATTTAATTTTGAGATTCCATTGTGGGGAAGCCGATTGCACCTATTTCTATCCATTGTGATAGTGCTGCCACTTTGGCTAAGGCGTATAGTCATGTTTATAATGGCAAGTCTAGACACTTAGGTGTTAGACATAGTATGATTAGAGAACTAATCATGAATGGTGTAATTTCGGTGGAATTTGTAAGATCGCAACATAACTTGGCGGACCACTTGACCAAAAGTTTGGCCCGGGACTTAGTGCACAAGTCTGTTATAGGGATGGGTTTAAAGTCCATTTAATCCTTAATGGTGAGACACCCAATTCCCCTCTAATACAACGTTAGAGGCTGAATTCAATGCGGAAAGCTCACACTTAATGGATTGGAACACACAATGAAAATCATCCCAAGGTGTGTGTTCGGACCTGTAGTAGGGAGGCTGAATTTATTTCTTAATAATTCCTTTGATAAAGTGTAAGCAGGTACACGAGTAAAGGAATTACCTATATGATCGTGAAGTGTAGCCGCACTTCAAAAGGCTTGGGACTTGGCTTTTATACGGTCATGAATGGGATTAGGACACACGGCTTTATAATTGTGTCAAGTTTGTATTCTAGTTGAGTATTGAAACTTGTATGTATTTTATCTTGAGGTATTCAAATGGGTTGAAGGGTTCAATCCGTAGGACACCCCGATTCTCGAATATTTTGAATGTGTAAAATAC